TGGTCGGGGGACCGGGTTACCAGGAGACTCTAGGGGACGGGGGGGCCGAGCCGAGGACACCGGGGACGGGGGCTCTAGGGGGCGGGGGAGGCGGGTTACCAGGGAGCTCTAGGGGGCGGGGAGTACCTGAGGTTCGGGAGGCGTGGGCCGAGCCGGGAGACTCGAGGGGAGCTCTAGGGGCAGCCTTACCCCAGGTCCACGGAGCCGAACAAGGGACCCAGATCCCGCCCCCTCCCCCGCCGGTACCTGCAGCAGCACAACGCGGAGCTTCTGACACCGCGTTTCCCGGCAACGGTCTCCCCAGTGACCGAACCAATGCACAAGTGACTCGGGAGACCCGCCCCGTCCCACAGCCCGTCCCACTTCTTCATAACCCCCCTCCCCTGTAACAACCCATACGCATCCCACCCCACGCCCCATATACCCCAACAGCTATACACCCCAGCCCCAATCTCTCCTACATACACTTATTCCCCACACACCACATACCCCCACCTTCCCCTACATACCCGCAACCCCACATGCCTCCTGCCCCATACACCCCCACACACCACCGTGTCCAGCTGGGGCCTGCCAGATGTGGTCCCTTTTGGCTTTGGAATCCAAGAATTCTGTTGGGAACTGCTTGGAGGAGACTTTGGGGCCTAAAAGGGCCAGGAAAATTTCCTGTAACCATGTAAGCCAGTCCAAGCTGTGTAAGGCAACCTGGTTTTAATGCTAGTGGGAGGAGAGTGGCCATTTTTAAAAAGAGAGGGGGGAAAAAACCAATAAGAAACCTATCTATTCCCAACATAACAAGCAACCTAAAAACAAAGAGCGAGAGAGAGAGAGAGAGAGAGAGAGAGAGAGAGAAAGTCTGTTATATTCATGTTCTTGAGCTCTATGTTGGCACTAACACCTACATTGTCAGCAGTCCATGAGACTAGAAGTGGAGTTTGGGTGATGGTGTCACTTGTCCACTGCGATTTGAACTGATATACCCAAACTCATTTCTAGACTGAATCAGACACAGAGTTATTTATTCAGTGAAGTCAGCATGTTTGCAAATTGACCACAGGCAGTTTATGATGGAATGGCAATGGAATTCATAGCCACAAGGTGTCACTGAGACCAAGAGCTTAGCAGGATAAAAAAGGATTTAAAATTTACATGGCTTAGGAGACCATCCAGATTTAGAATTGTAAGCATTAAAAAACAGGCATGAGTTTTGGAAAAGGGCTAAACCATCACCTTCATCTGTAGAGGGATAGGAAGGAAATTCCCCTATGAACAGATTATCCATAATTGCCCAGTTCATGCCCAGTTTCTTGCACTTTCCTCTGAAGGAGTTAGTCCTGTACTGTTAGAAGTAGGGTGCTGGACTACAGAGGCCCCGGGTCTGATGTAGTCTGGCAAGTCATGTGTGCCTATGTTTTCTCTGAATTTGTTATTCATAGTATTTCTGCAAATTGGTGGTGCAGGAGCAACTCACTGTGACTATTCAGTATTTACAATGTCTTTGCTAGACACTGGACCGGGGTGGGCAAACTTTTTGGCCCTATGGCCATATCGGCTACAGAAATTGTATGGAGGGCCGGGTAGGGAAGGCTGGGGGAGGCTATGCCTCCCCAAACAGCAAGGCATGGCCTGGCCCCCGCTCCCTATCCAGCCCCCTGGAACCTCAACCCCCCCCGCTCCCCACTCCTGACTCCTGCATCCTATCCAATCCCCCCTGCTCTCTGTCCCCTGACCGTCCTTCCAGGACACCTGTCCCCTATCCAATCCCCCCTGCTCCCCACCCCTATCCAATCTCCCCTGCTCCCCACCCCGCCTGCCACCCCTGCCCCCTATCCAACCCTCCCTGCTCCCCTCACCCCATGTTACCTGTGGGGTGGGGGAAACAGGGGCTCAGTCCTTTCCCTGTGCGTTTCCCCTGCTCGTTTGGCTGCTCTCCCTGACAGTCGGGCAGGGCTCACTCCCTGTCTGGGCTTGGCTGCTGGGGACAGGGGCCAAGCATGCTGGGGTGGAGGGGGACCGTGGCTTGCTCTGCCCCTGTCCCGGGCAGCAGGGCCCAGGCCCCTTGACTGCCTCCCCAGAACTCCCCCTGATCCCTGCCCACGCCGCCCTGGAGCACCAGGTCTGGTGGTGCTATAGCCATGTCGCCTGGCTGGAGCTGCAGCCACGCTGCCAAGGCACTGGGGGAACTGTAACTGCAAGGGAGGCAGGGAAACAGAAGGGCAGGGGCCAGGGGCTAGCCTCCGCCCTGTTCACTGCGCTGCCGGGGAGTTAGGCTGGCTCCTCTGCAAGCCTGTCCTGACCCGGCTCCCTGGCAGGAGCTCGGGGACTAGAGGGAAGGGTCCTGTGGGTTGGATGTGGCTCACGGGCCATAGTTTGCCCCCCCTCTGTACTAGACACTGGATTTATAGCTTATTACAACAATCTGTAAGCCCCTAACCCCTGTTTTTGTCCTATGACTAGGGGGTATTAATGGGCCACTTAGCACATATTCTAAGGGACTATATAAGGTTAACTGCTTATGCTAAATTATCCGTTTGATTTTGTATTTAACTGTGACACTGAGTACTTTTCACAGACCTGAAGAGCTCTGTGTAGTTGGAAAGCTTATCTAGCTCAGCAACAGAAGTTGGTCCAATAAAAAAATATTACCTCACCCACAATGTTCCCTCTAATTTTTCCCATTCATGTGCAGAATGAATTTTGTTATGTGCACCAATATGGTGGTGATGTGAGAGGGTGGGGCCGAGAGGTTCGAAGTGTGAGGTGGGGCTCAGGGCTGGGGCAGAGGGTGTGTGTGTGTGTGGGGGGGGTGAGGGCTCTGGCTGGAGTGCGGACTCTGGGGTATGGGAGGGGGCTCAGAGCTAGGGTTGGTGTGCGGGGGGTGAGGGCTCTGGGGTGCGGCTGAGGGGTTTGGGATTCAGGTTGCCCAGGGCTGCAGCAGGGAGAGAGGACTCCCCGCATCAGCTCTGGGGCTGGGGAGGTGTCTGGCCCTGCGGCTGTGTGTGTGGGACGTCTGGTCCCGCCGCATCACAGCCCTGGGGCTGGGAGGGGGAGAGGTGTCTGGCCCTGCTGCACCACAGCCCCAGGGCTGTGGGAGTTGCCACAGCCCTGCACACCCCAAGCTCCCCCATCAACACCCCCCACGCTCCTGAGTGCAGTGTGCATGCCTGCACGGCCCTTTGTGGCTTTCTGCACAGCTGTCCACCTTAGAGAGAACGTAGCTCACCCACCTTGTCTCTCTAATATCCTGGGACTGACATGGCTACAACACTGCATACTGTATTTATAACGAATGGCATGTTGGTTAGCTTTGATTGGACAGATGTGTCACACTATGCTGTTTCTATTCCCTGACAGGTAAAGTGTAACAATCAGATTTGGATACAAACACTCAAAAGTTCAAAATTTGATTTCTGCAAATATTCTCGAATATATGTTTAAAATTCATGGTGACTTACGAACAATCCTGCTCGTGAATGTGTTCGCAAGGACCCCACTTCTACACCTCCACCCATGTGTCTCGACACCTATTCCACCCACAGCCACATTAACTTCAGTGGCACTTCACACAGGTGCAATGACCAGCCAGCTGGATGGAGCTGAAAGATCAGGACATAAAATATTTGTAGAAAACAGAAAAGGGCCACAAATCAAATAAAACAATTTCCATGATTGACTGAGTTGCTCACCTGGCTTAATTCATTATTATGGTATAAATACATGATTGGAATTAGGGACGACTGTGAAGGGGGAGACCCAGAAGAAAGAGTGTGATGCAGTATTAAAGGCAGAAGAAAAACCATGATGGAACAAATCCTGCTGGTCTTACTCTTGCAAGGAATCCCTTGTCTTATTGGGATGCCTTACCTGAGTAAAGCCAGTAGGGTTTGGCTAATTTGTACAGGATTATTTTCTGTTGTCCTCTCTATGTTGTATAAATCTCCAACTAAAATCTGAAAGTTTGTAGAGCAAAAAACATTGAGTCAAGATTTTAAATACATATTTTCTTCATAAAGTTCAGTAGAAGCAAAGTATTCTGGTAAAGTACTTTTTATTTATTTACAGTATTTATGTTTTCTATTTGTACATACCTACAGCAACATCAAAAATTATTCACAAAGCTTAACTGAATGTAAAAATGTTATTTCATTGGACATTTGACCTATCAGCTTGATATTATGGAAAATGTTGACTTTTTCCCCCATGCAGTATCCAGATTGTCTGAGCATTATTTTTAAGTTTTCTGGTACATTTAGGGCCACATTTAAAAAAAAGTCTCTAAACATGCACACCTAAATTTGCACACTTTTGTGTACAATTTTAGTCATCCAATTTTTTTAAACACAAACTCAGATTTGCAGATGTGAGTAGAGGGGCATGCAAAAACTTGAGCACATGAAAATGTGCGCACAAAATATCAGGAGTGTAAATTTAGAGTTCAAGCTCAGGCTATTTTGAAAATTTAGCCCCCACGTGTACATAAAGTTTAACCAAGGAAGTGTTTTCTCAGTGCTACCAAAACTATGGTTCATTTTACTTTTTAAATAAGGCTTTTATTTCTGAGATACTAGATATTTATCAGGTTCTCACATATTCATACTTGCCTCTCTGTGCAGACCCATTACCAAAGACTTGTAGCAATAATAAGAAATGGCCACTCACTTATTGCCATGTCCACGTTGGAAAAAAGTGTTAAGTGCTCACTTTTATATGATTTTCAGAGTGGGAAAACAATTACATTAAACTTATATAAAATTGTATTTTCCTTTGCAACCAAATGGTAACAGTTCTACAATACATAACATTCAAACTCTGGGCCAAACTGTGATCGCCTTTTGCTCACACAAATAGTTTCCTTTAAATTAATAGGACGACTCAGAAAAGTAAGGCAATTATAATCTGACACTGCTTAGAAATAAAGGATAAAGGTTTGAGATTACATTTGTGAAAACTGGTTAGTCAAGTTACAGTCCTGTCCTCTTGACCTGAAGCTCAAACTGCAAAAGGTAGAGTTGAATTCTTCAGTTTGCCCTTTAGTGCTAAGTAGACATAGCGTGTGAGGATTTTGACTCTATTAATGCCATTCCCTAAACTGAAAACCAGGAAGCAGATGGTAAATGTACTGCAGGAGGAAAGTAGTAACCCTGAATTGCAGTCTGGGAGAGCTTCTTGCTGCACTCACTTCTTTCTACACACATTTAACTCCTGAAGCTGAATTCAGTAAAAATGTAGGGTCTGATTTTCAGCATAATCTTAAATGGTTTTCCCTTTCTCTGCCCACAATTGAGTGGATATGAATTCTTGCAGACACAATATTTCACCACAATTTAATTACAGGCATAATTTCAGCCATTTAGTAGTCCAAGTATCTGACTGCAATGAGGAAGGTAAATGCTGTTTCTACAAATAACTAAAGCCACAATTTTAGGTGCCCACAAATTGTAGGCACACAGACAAAGGCCAGGTTTTGATAACCTGATCCTTTAAATGCAGTAAAATCTGGGCTATTATCCATGTATATGAATTCCTGGATATGTCTGTATATATATTGCTATTACTATAGCAATGTCACTGGGAGATAATTTTCTAATAACGTGTCCATTCTCCTGCAATCTAACCTATTCAGCTAATATTATGGAGAAATATTTTATATAGCAGTGAACTGATCTGTATGACCAAACAAGTCCCTTAAGCCATAACTTGCCAGGTCCTTTTGGTATCTTGAAAGTACAAGTCTTGCAACGTGCTACCTGTTTGACGTATCTTGGTGTCACAGTCAGCTGGTGTTCCTTATCACTGAGACAAGCCAATCTTTCAGCAATAATCTCAGCAAGATCTTGGATTTCACAGCAATAGGCTCATTCACCCAAGCCAGTGCTGATATTACATCCACATATTTCTTTTTGGCAGAAGATCAACACAACAGTTATACAATTGGTGAGAGTGAGAGTCCACCCATGTCTTCTAAACATTTAAAAACCCCAAATAATCTTTTTGACCCATTCTACTGAGCTGAAAATGACATTAGTACCTGTTGACTGTGGGGCAGTAAAATGCTATCTCTTAGATTTTTTCATAGCACAGAATATGCTGGCTGTTATTTGAGTCTACTGTATTCCTCAATTTTTCTCTTCAAAAAGGAATATAAGTTAAGCTTAGGTTCAGAAATGCATATGTTTTACTTAAAAACATTCACCTGTTCAAAATTCAAAATAAACTTTATGGGATACAGTGTGTTTTTTTAAATAACATTTCATTCAAACTGTATATAATTCATTAAAGTATTCATACAGCAAACAATGGTTAACCCTTGAAAATGTGTAGAAAAAGATTTTCACACAAAAAAGGAAAACAAAATTTTGAGGTATCACACTCACACATACACCCAAACACACACGCAGGCTGCAGCAAAAGCAGAAAATTGTAGGCCCAAAAGAAAATGATGATTGATTGTTCTATTAGAGAGTCCAGGTAGCTCAGGAAAAAACACAAAAACAAAACCCTCCACAATAGTCCTCTGAGTAAAGAACTACCTCAAAAAAGTTCAAGTGCATTGGAGACCTGATCACCTAAACTGTTTCTGCAAAGCAGCTCCCTGCACCTGAGAGAAATGCAGCCCAAGGTGACTTGTGCAAATATAAGGAATCAGTTGAGGCTATTTCCTTTTAGTCCTTAAACACACGAGGGGTGTCCAAAGATTCACTTAGTCTTTGATCATGCAAGATACTGCTGGAGTGCTGTCTTCGCCCTGAAATTACAAATATTCCATTAGCCATTGAATCTGGACTTCAAAAAACAAACACCCGCTGGAGATTCATGGTTAACATTTATCCCACATGACATTCTGTGCACAAGGCTAGTGTGTGAGGGAGGAACTGTTAGTGTGGCAATAAAAGGCTAAACTATTAATACGTTAAGATGGCAAAGCCTGAGGTTTCTCAGCAAAAGTAGAGCCTAATGCCATTTGTGCTGTTTTCTTCGGCTAGGAGGAAAACTCTTTTATGCTACATGAGCAATGAGTAGTGCCAAACAGTCATTAAACCAGATCTAATCCACTGGTCTGGATTGCACCCCAGAATATGACAACATGGAAGGAGTGCATAAATCCTCTTTGCTCCAGGATTGCACTAGTAGCTCATATTGAGTTGTCTGTCCACTCTCACTCATAGATCCTTTTCAGAGTCATTGCTTTCCAGGAAACAATGCCCCATTCTGTAGGTATGGGCTGCATTCCTTGTTCCTAGACAAGGCCGGTTCTAGGCACCAGCAAACCAAGCACGTGCTTGGGGCGGCACATTTTCAGGGGCAGCATTCTGGCAACCTTTTTTTTTTTGCGCTTCAGGCGGCAAAAGCCTAGAGACGGCCCTGGCAGCAGCAGCGCATTGTGCGCGGGGGCGCCCTAGGGCCACTGCAGTTCACGCTGTGGGGGAGCAGCGCCCGCACCTTGTGGCTGGGCCGGGCAGGCTCCGAGCGGGGGGACACTCGGGCTGGGGGCCGCCCCGCGGGGCACACGGAGCTGCTTGCAGGTGCCGCAGGGCGGCTGCCCCCCAGCGCCGCAGCCGGGGCTAGGCGAAGCGGCCCGAGCTGCCCAGGGACTGCAGCAGGGTGGCCAGAAGCAACAGCAGCAGCGGGGCCATAGAGGGCGGGGCGCTTCTGTGCGGGGCCTGCGTCCTGCTCTCTGGGGCTCCGCTCCCTCTGGGGCTGCCCTGCCCCGGCTCCTCAACCCCCTGCCAGGGCGGTCCCCCGGCTCTGCCCTCCTGGGTCCCAGCTGGTCCTGGAGGCGACCCTGGGCTGAAGCGCGGCCTGGGAGCCCCGCTGCTTACCCCGACCCTGCCAGTGCCGGACTGGCTGGAGGCGAGGGGGGAGCGGGCAGAGTCAGCACTGGTGGGGGGGAGCCCAGGGCTGGGGCGGCAGGAGATGCGGGTGGGGTGGGGTGGCGAGAGCCCAGCGCTGGGGCGGCAGGGCATGCGGGTGGGGGAGGGCACTGGTGGTGGTGGTGGGGGGTGAGAGCCCAGGGCTCAGGTGGGGAGCAGCCAAAAATTTTTTTGCTTGGGGTGGCAAAAAACCTAGAGCCGGCCCTGTTCCTAGATGTATAACTTTGAACTTGGCTGTATTTAAATGGTCCCTTGAAATATGTAACTACTTATGCTAAACAAACTGTTCCACCTTGTGTTTAGCTGTGACACTTTGAGTACATTTCCCAGACCTGAAGAAGAGCTCTGTGTAAGGTTTAAAGCTTGTCTCACCAAACAGAAGTTTGTCCAATAAAAGATATTATCTCAGCCACCATGTCTCTCTAATATCCTGGGACTGACATGGCTACAACACTGCATACTACTAAAGTTACACATTAAGTCTGCAAGACTGGATAAATTATATTCAAGATTAAAAAAAAAAAAAAAAAAATTAGCTGAGGATCCTGAAACCTCCTTATTTTTTAGTAAAACATGGAATACTGGAAAAGTTCCAGAGACCAGGAAAAGTGCTAATGTTGTGTCAATGTGTACTGCTGTTTTTGAGGAGGGAGATGATGTATGAGTGGATAACCATCTTGGTGTCTGTCCTGCCTTAGGACTTGTCATAAATCCTACTTAGCAAGCATTCTTCAAATAAGATGAATATCATATTTTATTCATATGTGGCACGACTCATCAATGTAAAGGGCCTGTCTTCTGCATGCAGCACTGTCTCATGGATTTTTCTGTAATCCAAATGCTTTCCAAACAAGATTTTTTTTTTTTTTTTTAAAGCACAGAATTCCCTCTGATCTCTATTTTGGGGGTTCTTTTATACTTACTTGTCACAAAGATTTGGATCTGATGACTGACTCAGTTTGTGTAGAATATCTACTATTCCGATATCTCGTAGTTTATCTTGGCGTTCTTGTGAACCTAAAAAAAATAAATCACATTATAGGGGATAACATCAAACAAGTGATTTATTAAAAATGATAAAAAAGAATTGGAGACAGGCATGTGCTATGAGGGGATATAATATGTGGATGCAAATAAAATGCTGTGCTAAGAAGCCCTTTATGTCTACTTAACCTATGGCTGCTCTGTCTTTTCCTTTTAGAAGAAGCTACTAAATTTTTTTCCCTTCAATTTTTTTCACATGAATAAATGAGAGAAAATTAAACAGGCAAGAACCTTAAGAGATTTTATTATAAAGTAAGGAGTTTGACTCTGACTGGCTTCTTCCTTTCCAACTCTGTCTCTGATACTGGGTGTATTTAGCTGAAAATTTGTTACAGAGAAGCTTCTAGCACTCAGAGTACAACACAAGCTAATACAGGAAATCAGAATGCTGGAAATACAGCGTGAAGTTTTACATGCTGAAGTGAGATTTGTTCCTGATGCTCCACATTCTCAAATTACTCAGCAGGAGAGTGGGAGATCAAACTACAAAAATAAGTCTCCTTGTTGAGGAACACCACAGCAGATTTAGAGAATGTAACCACCAATCTAAGAGTCATTCTCCCCCAACCCCATTTCCACTCACACCACCCCCTCCCTAGCACTGCTCCCATCTCCTGCTCCGCAACTCCGTGGCCTTCCAACTCCTGATTCATAGGATATGTCTGAACTGCAATGTAAGCCCGAGCTTAGACTCAGGCTCAAGCCCAAACCCCCTTCCTGTCTAACACATAATTCTGTCTGATCTGGGCCCAAGCCCAGGCCCTACAGGGGTGAAGGGTTTGAGCCCATGCCCTGCAATGACTTGGGTCCAAATGGCATCATTCTGCAATGTGGAAACAGCTCGGGCCCGGGCCTCCCAGACTCAGGTCCTGAGAGTCCACCAGTGCTATTCAACACTCCCATGGGATGGTGTTCTCTGTGATTTTTATCCCAAAACTGGCCAATCAACTCCCAAGAAATGGAAGCCAGCCCTCTAGGTAAAGTACAACTGCTCAGCATTTAACCCTTCCATTTTATTCCGACCGCTGAGCTGCAAGCAAAGTGAACCTTCTTCTGAGTTTGTAATGGCCACCAACATATAGAAGTCCTTTGCCAAGTGTGCTGCTACGTGGTCACAGGAACATAGTCTGATTTTGGTTAATCGGTGGTGCGAGGTGAGCAAACAGTTTGACTTCAGCAAGAATTCGAGGAATGACCACAAGTACCAGGAAATAGCAAAGAAGCTGGCAGCACTGGGGATTCACTTGACCGGTTAACCAGTGCAGAGAGCAGATTAAGTGGCTCAAAATGACCACTGTAAGCCAGGCATGAGAACTGCACCTCTGGAAACTCGCTGTCATCCTGCCCCTTTTACAAAGAGCTTGAGTGGGTGCTGGATACTGTGCCAAGCACTGAGCCACAAATGCTTCACGACAGTCTGTTAAGCTTGGATGGTGACCTTTCTCACCCCCGAATCCAGTATAGGACTGGAGGGGACCCATCATGTACCAGATGAGGCTGCTGAAGTGACCAAACTGGGACAGACCCTGAGGAAGCTTTGCAGCACATTCTAGGTCCCTACTCAGAGGAGCTATTTGATGCCATCCTGGCGGAGCAGCCTGCCACACAACTGGCAGCAGAAACAAGAGGCAGTAGCCCCTCAGCCTGGTTAATTTCTGGCTCCATGTTCGTAGTTGTTAATATAGGGATGGGAGGGATTTCTGGTTTATGACCCAATGCAAAATTTATTACAAACTGCAGTAAGAAGCATGTATCCACTAATGGTGGATTTTATTACCATTACTGCACGATATATCATATAATGTATATTTCAAACAATAATGGTAAACACATAAGGTGTAACCTGTAAATTGTATCCAAACACTGTTTCTCAATACATTCATCTACTCAATACTATAAATTCACAGGTTCTTGGCCCCCACCCTCCACTGCATAAGCAGCTATGTCATTCACAAGTACAATGCATGGCAATCAATTCTCCCCCACCCCGTTTCATTAAGTGATAATGGCAATACCTCATTTACTGCAAACCCTGTACAATCACATTCATAAATGCATATTCTCCGTCTTCCATTAGGTCACGCAAGTCCATAATGTGGGTGCACAAAGCATCCCCGATTTGTGTTGTCCTTCAGGAACCTTAAGCTGTGTCACAGCGACCAGTTGGGATCTTAGTCTCATTGCCCTCCCTCCCCCAGCCTCCCTATTGTCTATAATAATCACTTGCTGCATCTTGCATCTAGACCTTAAGCCCACTGGGGCATGGACTGTATTTCACTGTGTTTGTATAGGGCATACATAGTCAAGACTGAGTCCCGTTGTACTACTACCTAACATTTGCCATTCTCTTCCTTGAGAGGATTTTGTTTTGACAATACTTTCTGTCCAAGACAATACATAAAAGTATGAGGGTCTCTTACCTTCTTCTTCATTCCATACGAGATTAGATATGCAAAACATGGCAGCAAGCTGAAGTTTAGCATTCGAATGACTCTGAATATAGAAACAGAATTTTTGGAGTTTCAGAAGCTAAATATCACAAAACTTTGTAGATGTACATTTTCTAACATTCACTTAAGGACTGAGGTAAAAAAGCATGGGCAATTCCTCATCCACGATCTGCACCAAAGACATTACTGCTATTTAGGGCAGTCAGGTACAGTGTTCTTTGAATGGAGAGTTATTTTGTCCTTGATTTCAAAACAGATTCTACCTTCACCATATTGCAGACATTGTTACACTCACTACACTAACCATGAAGTCAAGAGGCTCTTGCTGCTGCTGCCACTCTCCCATCTGGCATCAGGTTCAGTCCAGTCCAGCCTATAGGTCATCAGCAAGATTGTACCAGCCACACTGCTCCTGAGCATAACTGTGTTCTCCTCAGACTTGCTTTCTATTTCGGGACTGTCACTCTCAGGCAGCTGGGATGAGCTGGTTAACAGCTGGGGTTTCCTCAGGACTGCTGTGTTTCTGTTATGTCTTGAGATACCAGCGAGTTGTTTTCAACACAGTTATAAAATATTTGTTTTGATTCTGCCTTGGCCTGTTGTTCAAGAGGCACCAAATGGAAGGACAGCTATGCACAGACTGTGTGCCCTCATTCCTATAGCAACTAGCCTGGTCTTTAATAGGTGTTTGGGGAACATGTCTATTTAGATTTCTCTGCTGAACTGGTTGTGTAACAAAGCGTTGGTTCTGGTGCTCAGATACACATCCCTTCACTCTGTTCCAAGGCTCAGTTGCCCCTTTAATAATGAGTTCATGGAGCACATGATGGAGTCATGTAACTGCACGTTGAGAGGGCCCTTCCATGTGTGAAACTGAGCAGGCTGAGGAGGGTGGAGACACCAAACTTTTTGCACTGCGCTCCCCATTTGAGTTACAATTTTTTGTTGCACCCCCCAACTCAAACAGGTTTGGAAGCCCACTAAGGTGAGTCAGGGGTGCAGGTGGGGCTCCCTCCCTGAGCCCTGCTGTGTGGGGCTGGCCCAAGCCACCTGGCGTTGCTACTCACCCTTCCCCTCACCGAACATTTCTCACACCCCACAGTTTGAAAACTTCTAGAAGCTGTTGCTAAATGGAAGGCAGAAATCTGGGGGGGAGGGACATGACCCTGCATGCCCCCCCACGTGTCGCCTCTGCCTATCTCAGATGGGGGTACGTGGCAGACTATATTAAAAGTAGCCTAAAAAGTCTGAAAACCATTGACCTACCCCAAGAGAAGCAGCAAAGGGATGAACTCATCTCTATCTATCCCAATGAGATGCTAACTAGAGGGGTACAGATCAGTGTTAATGCCATACAGGCAGGTTAACAAACCAACACTGGAGTCCATGCTCGCCTCAGCTAAAGGACATGCAACGGAGCCAATACTTGAGGGGCCAAACAAGCCTGAATCTGTTGTTCTTCAGGCCATGCTGCAAGGCACTTCTTTTTAGGGCTGTTGAAGGCTAGTCTTGCTAGGGGTGACGTGGGGACAGGGTGGATTTGATTTAAATCACTAGTCAGGAAGACTCGATTTAATCATGGATTTCTACATAAAAATGCATTCTTGTTGGTTGTTATAACCTTAATACATATTCTTCACAACTCAGAGAGAAATGTAGGTTTAATTTTTAGAAGGTACACACTATACATTTTTAAACAGTGATTTATTTTGAAAACTTTTCAGATTAGTTTTACAGCTATATCAGAAAATGAATGATTGGTTATTTCATTTACCAAAGGTAATCGAAGCAGATATTTATGAAGTCATTGGGAGGTGAACTATCTCCAATTCAACAGGTTAATCATTAATATTTGGAGGATTTTCTTGCCATGCTGTATTAGGAGGAGAACATCACCAGACAGACATTTAAATTGTTTTATTTAACTAAAATAACAACGTTATGTATTCTGGATTTTTTTCTTCGACAGCAAACATATCATATTTTAACAAAACAAGCATTTAGTTAAACATTCAAGTTTTTTTAAATCAGGTTTGTTTTTGTTAAAATTGTTTTTAACTAAAATAGTTAAATGAAAAATTAATAAAAAAATTAAATCGACTATGTCAGCCAGGTCAACATGAGAAACTTAAAATATTGGCTTCTGCAGCTAACTCAGTCGTCTTCACCTTCATTTTCCTGTTTGTTCATAATCTGGAAAAGAAAAACAAGCTTTCCTACTTTTTCAGATCCCAAACGATTTCTCAATTTGGAATGAATTAGTCCAAAGGAAGAAAATATTCTTTCTACACCGGCAGAAGAACCTACTGCTGTTAAAAGCGAGATTATCACTTCAACAGTCTCTGAATCCAAGTGCTTAAGTGACTTCCACCAGTTCACTGGTGTGACTTTCTTTAAAACATCATCAGCAAACATGTATTTCTTGAATGGTTCACCCTTAGCTCTGAAGTTTATTATAGTTGTCGTTATGGAGGGATGATTGCTGGATGTCCATGTCATAAGCCAACTCCTCTTCTTCAGCAGTTAAGGTTTGACTTTGGTACCGAGTATTGAGAATATTTGCAAGAAAATGAGCTGGAGATCGTGCTTGTCCCATTCATTTTTTTAATGCTTGTAATTTAACTCTGCCATTGCATATTTCTCTTTTTAAGATCTCACTCAGTTCCTTCCAAATTTCAACAGCTTCAGCAATAAAACAGCTATTTCCCTGCATTTTGTTCAAGGCTACAGAAATAGGCTTCAGGGTACTCAGCATGTGTTCAACATCTCTTAAGCCCAATGTTGAGAATTTTGGCTGTGACAGTGCAATCTATTTTTTCACAGTTTTGTTCACAAACTGTCATCAGATTAGACCAGTTCTTGATATAGTGCTCAAAACAGTCCACTACTGAGTTCCATCATACTTCTTGTGGGAGAGTTAGCTTGGTTCCTCCCACTTTTTTCAGAGCAGCTGCTGCGAAGTGGTTGTTATGGAAGTATTTTGCAATTTCAACAACATTAGCTTTTATTTCTGGAACACTGAAGTCTTTGGCTAGGAGGTGCATCAAATGAGCACTGCAACTGTATGTTATTGGCTTGGCACTCTTCTAAATTTCTTCTCATCTTGGATACATTTGCTGCTTGCATTGTCTGTGACGAAGCTGCATACTAGACATTTGAATTTTTGTTCAGTTTGTTATAGCTTTTACTGCTACTTCTTGTAAGTATTCTGCTGTTGTGTGCATTTCCTGATGTATCAATTGTTTCTGTAAGGAAGACATTCCCTTCTTCTGTTGTCACACAACCATGTACAACAGGATCATTGTGGACATTGCTCCACCCATCAAGACTCAGGTTAACAATTTCACCCTCTAGACCTTTTGCACACTGCTCAGTTTCTCTTTCATACACTTTATCCAGGAATTTGCCTGCGACATCTGCTCTGTTGGGTGAACTGTATCCTGGTCTTAATGACTGGATCATATTAATGAAGTGTGGGTTCTCAGTCATACGAAAAGGAGAGTTTGTTGCATAAGCAAACTGGGCAATTTTTTCATCAATTACCTCTTTTTGTAATCTGCTGGTTCTTAGCACGAACTTATCTATGGTTGTTTCTGGATGATGGAGATTTTTTTTTTTTTCCTTTTTGCTACAGGTGATATACTGTGGCTGTGTGACATACATGATGTGACTGAAACACTATCATTGGCAGATAACTCTGAAACTGTAGAAAATGATGGTGATCTTGAAGGTGGATAGTTTTCAGAATCCTGTATGTTGAGGATGGATTCTCCTAAACAAAATAAGTCAATGCAGTTATTTAATTATTATTACCATACTGCTCATTTAGTATTACTCATTGCATTCACTGACACTCAGTACTACTTTAAAGGTGAAATTATAAAAGGAAGATCTGCCTATTTCAGCTATTTATTTTTTATTACAACTGCATCTAAAATAGAGTAACTACTATATTTTTTGCCCAAACATGAGAATTCAAGACTAATCCAGAAGGAAGACAGGCAGGCCTTAAGAAAGAAGTATGAAATAAAAAAGTTTACCAACCTGAAGATCCTGCATGTTCAGACAGGTTCCTTTCATCATCTTCAATGCAGCTTCCTCCTGAGAAGGAACACTTCTCATGATGTTGTTTCATTCGGGCAACCAGGTCTTGCATTTCTTTGTTGCACTGTTTGCATTTTGCATGCATGCCTATCTTACCCACAGGTAGAGGAACTTCATTAAAATATTCCCAAACTGGGTCTCTTTTACGGCCTGCTGCCATTATAGGTTTTCCCTTCTAGTGAGAGAATGGTATTGTAGATCTCAAATCAATGAAGGCTACACTCAGAAAGTCCTCAAGACTTCTGGAATATGCAGCTCAAACAGTTTCACTTTTGTTTCTACTGCCTGTCCCTCCCTTTTCACATTTATCTCCAGACTTCTTCTCATTGTCCAGATCTGTTCGGCCCCCAACAATCTTCTATTCGTTGAACTTTTTGAAACTTTGCACTTTTAGAGAAAGGTAAGGGATTGACTCTGTATACACAAATTTGCAGAGGGACAATAGGGTTGAGGTCTGTTATTTCTCACCTCTATATATTATTCATTTATTTAAAAACATTTTTGCTGTTAACAAGCATGTTATCTCTGGAGACACAAATCCACAGTCTGAAAACTGCAAAACTAAGCATCTTTGATGGTATCTTCTAGACTGAGCACTGAGTTCCATTGGGTAGATAGAAAGATTAACCTAAATAATCTATACAGAAGCGCCTGGAACCCCATAAGATTGGGTCCCTAATCCATGAACTATTGGAACTCATTTACAAAACTTATCTTAAACATTACACATGACTATATTGTCTCATACTATAGAATTAGAATTTATAATCCCTATTCCATGATGAGATATCTTTGAGCTATAATGTATCTTAATTAAAACTATCTTTAGATAGGTTTTTTCCTCAAAAGCATTTTATCAAAAAAAATCTGATTTAAATTAAAAAAAATCCATTTTTTAAAAATCATTGATTTTATCCACCCTGCATGGGGAAATGGGGCATTTGGGTTATTGCTTTGTGCTGCTGGTTATTTGGTATTATTGTGTTTTGGGTTTGCTGTTTCTTTTTTGATTTACCCTGTTTATGTAAATGTCAGAAGTGCCCAGGATGCAAAGATGGGGCTTCTTGTTTTGTACAATAAAACATTTACATTAAATAGGCTGGAAAGGCCTGGGAGCCGAAGGAATCTTGCTGCCTAGGGAAAGGGCGAAGCCAAACAGCACTAAGCATGGGTTAGCCTGCTACTAGGATGCAGCTTCCTTTTCTTGCAGCTGCCTGAGATCTGGAGGATTGGAGTCTGTGACCCCAAGCTCCCCCTACTCCAAGGGGAGCATTTATCAAAATCTCTATCAGATACACCTAATTAAGGCGGAAACACCTTCCCTTCCATTACTGTCTGGTGCTACATGTGTACCTTAATACACTGTAAGGCTGCTGTGGGAGCCTTAATTTTTGGATTTCCCTTTTGACTGAGTCGCCAGCCTTAACTCTGCCTTCATGTAGTGTTTGAACTGAACTAACACAAGCTCTCTGTACAGATGGATATACAGAAATTAAGTGTTTGATACTGAATACTAGTCATCTGTATAACTTTTAAGCCATGTTAGAGTACCCACTTTCAACTCCTGCAAAGAAGAGAGGGCAGACCCTTCAAAGAAATTCTCCATACCATGTAATACTTAATTTTCTGCAAGATGTCATCATTGGTCATAATGAGTTCTTTTGCTGTTGTTCCATCTGCTATGTTGGCAAGTATACATAATGTCTGAAAAAGAGAGAAAGTTGTCATTTGCAGTACATCTATGAATCATAGCTTTCGTGACAGTTCCAACCTTTCATGGTGAACACTTCTTTATCAGAATCTGGAGTTTCCAGATTGTTACACTGAGGACCAAGTATTCTGTTGGCTCAATGCCATTGACTCCAATGGTGTTATGCAAGCAGAGAATTTAGCCCTGAGTTCTTGACTAAACCACACTAATAGAACAATCATAGTCATCAGGGATAGCCATTTTAGACTTGATTCTGATCATGAGGGAGGAACCTGTAATAAATCTGAAGGTGGAAGGTGAAAGTGATAATGAAATGATAGATTTAATGATTCTAAGGAAAGGAAGGAGTGAGAGCAACAGAATAAGGACAATAGACTTCAAAAAAGCAGATTAAAAATCATAGAACTGATAGGTAAGGTCCCATGGGAAGGAAGTTAAGGAAAAACAGAATTCAGGAGTGCTGGCAATTTCTTAAGCAGACAATAGCAAAGGCACAACTACAAACTATCCCAATGCAAAGGAAAGACAGGAAGAATAATAAGAGGCCAATATGACTCCATAAGGAGCTTTTTAGTGACCTGAAAATCAAAAAGGAATCTTACAAAAAGTGGATGAATTGCTATGGAGGAGTACAAAAGAATAGCAGAAGCATGTAGGGACAAAAATAAGAAAGGCTACAGCACAAAATGAGTTACACCTACCCAGGGACATAAAAAGCAAGAAGAGGTACTTTAAATACATTAGGATCAAGAGAAAGACGAAGGAAAGTGTAGACCCTTAACTTAGTTGGGAAGGGGAGCTAATAATTGATGACATCAAAAGGCTGAGGTGTTTAATGCCTATTTTGCTTCAGTCCTCACTAAGAAGGGTAACAGTGACCAGATACTCAACATAATTAATATTAACCACAAGGGGAAAGGTACCTAGGCCAAAATAGAGAAAGACCAGGTTAAAGACTTTTTAGATAATTTAGATGTATTCAAGGGCCTGATGAAGTTGGACTAGATGACCTCCTGAGGTCTCTTCCAACCCTAATCTTCTATGATTTATCCTAGGGTACTTAAGGAATTAGCTGAAGCAATCTCAGAACCATTAGCGATGATCTTCGAGAACTCATGGAGGACAGGTGAGGACTGGAGAAGGGCAAACATAATACCTATCTTTAAAAAGGGGAAACAAAAAGCACCCAGGGAATTAAAGGCCAGTCAGCCTTTGAGATCTGGGTAGATACTGGAACAAATTATTAAACAATCAATTTGTGAGCACCTAGAGAATAATAGCATTATAAGGAATAGCCAGCATGGACTATTATGACTAACAAACCTAATTTCCTATGGAGACCATGTGGCCACCCTCCAAATGTCCAGTGTGGAAATGTCACCGAGGAACACTATCGATATCACTTGTGCTCTTGTGGAGTGAGCCCATATCTGCTGAGGAGGCATAGCCAAAGCCATCTCATATGCAGCCTTGATACAGGATGTTATTCATCTAGAGATGATCTGTGCAGAGACTGTTTGCCCTTCCATGCGGTCCGCATATAACACGAATAGGAGAGGTGAAACACAAAACGGTTTGGTCCTGTCTAGATAAAAGGCTAGACATCGCCTGATATCCAGAGTATGTAGGCGTGGTTCTGCCGGGGAAAAGCGCGGCTTAGGGAAAAACAGGTAAATACACTGCCTGATTCAGATGAAACAGAGACCACTTTGGATAAAAACTTTGGATGTGGTTGCAGCATTACCTTGCCCTTGCCCCTGGAGAACTGAGTGTAAGGCAGCTCAGCCATGAGGGCCTGCAGCTCACACACCCTCCTTGCTGAAGTGATGGTTATCAAGAACATGGTTTTCTGAGACAGGTGGGGCAGCAGACAGGACACAAGGGGCTTGAATAGAGGGCCCATCAGAGTCACCAGAACCGTGTTTAGGTCCCACATGGGAACCATTTCTCAGATCGAGGGATGTAAGCAGAGAAGCCCCTTCAGAAATCTTATCACTATGGCACTAGAAAAAACTGACTTCCCTTGAATTGGGGGGTGGAACACTGCTATTGGTGCCAAATGCACACTCAGAAAACTGAGCGCAAAGCCTGATTTCTGAACATGTAGCAGGTATTCCAAGATGTCTTGGATGGAAGCCCTGGTTGGGTGCCATCAGCCAAAGACCACATGGGGAACCTCTTCCACTTTGCTAAGTAGGCCATCCTAGTGGAGGACTTCCTACTGTTGAGTAGGATTTGTTGGACAGCCGCCAAGCACTGTTCCTCCTCTTCATTCAGCCATGTAGCAGCCACGCCGAAAGGTGCAGGGAGCTGATGGTAGGATGGTGCAGCCCTGATCCTGAGCAAACAGGTTGGGATGGAGAGGAAGCGGTATGGGAGGCTGAGCCAACAGCGCGAGGTCTGAGAACCAGGATTGTCTCAGCCATGCTAGGGCAATGAGGATGAGCTTGATCCGATCCGCCTTGAGCCTGAAGGTAACCTGCAGAATGATTGGAATGGGGGGAAAAGGCATACAGAAGAGCCGACCACCATCTGGAGTGGAAGGAATCAGAGAGGGAGCCTGGGCTGAGGACCCCCTTAAGAGCAGAATAGATGACACTTCCTGTTTTCAATTGTCACAAACAGGTCAATTGTGGGGATGCCCCATGTTGCGAAGACAACTTGGAGAGTGCACTCCTTCAGTGACCATTTGGGGCTCAAGGAGAAAACCCTGCTGAGTTGGTCCCCAAGACAATTTTCTACCAACAGCAAATGGATTGCTACCAGAGTGATGTCTTTTTTGATGCAAAATTGCCACTGGTTGATCACCTCCAAGCAGAGTAATCTGGAATGCATCCACCCCTTGCTTATTCACATAGTGCTTCGCGGTGCTAGTGTTGACATGCACTGTGGATTGCTCAAAGTTCTAACACATTGATATGGAATGATACTTCTTGTTCCGACTACAAGCCCTACACCCTGAACAAGTCCAGATGCACCTCCCCAGCCCAGAAGGGAAGCATAGATAATCACTAACTTGGTTGAAGAGGCAGAACGAAGAGGACCCCATGGCATACACTGAATGGGGACTCCCACCAGCATAGGGAATCTAGGAATCATGGAGGGAGGTGAATCAAACTGTCCAGAGGATGCAGGGCAGGACGGTAAACCATCTGAAGGGGGAAAAGGTGTGACCTGGAGAACTGGACCACCTGCACGCACATGGACACGTGGCCCAATTGGCTAAGACAAACGCGGACTGTCATGAACCGCTGAGAATGCAGACTGAGGCAGACCTGTTAAATTGTCTGGAAGTGGTTGGTTGGCAAGAATGCTCTTGACCTTGTGGAGTCTAACAGGGCCCCAATAAACTCAGTTTTTTTTTACTGGGAGCCAAAGTTGACTTTGCAGTGTTTAAAATGAGTCCCAGATGGTTGAGCAAATGCAATGTGGTGTTGAGATGGGCGAGAACCTCCTCTCTGGAGCTGCCCTTCAGCAGCCAGTTGTCGAGGTACAAAAGCTGTAGCTTCCCTTCCTCCTGAGATATGCCATGACCACCGCCATGCATTTGGTGAAGACTAAGGGGGCAGAAGAGAGGCAGAATGGGAGACTCATATACTGAAAGTGATTAAGGTTATGAGACCTCTTCTTCGGTGCCAACAACAGAGAGCAGCTCCACCATGTCTCTGGCAAAGCGCCTGCCCTGGAATGAGAGGCAACCATGCTCTCCAAACCCAAGGGTAATCTTGAGGAGGGCCTCGGTACTGAAACAGGCCACATAGCCTGTTCAAGCAGGGGCTGCTTGAGGCAAAGGCCCCATGCCACCTGAGTCTGCTTGTTAAATGACTTACAAATTCAACAGCTCTCTGTAAGGTAGGCCACTCCAAGACAAGGCAAGCACTGCATGTGAGGGTCGCTGTAAGGGATCACCCCTCCACATAAAGCACAGTGTTTAAATCCCTGTGAGGGCATCACCAGGGAACACTATCGACTAACACCATCCAACTCCTAACTAATACTAACTTTATATAATAAACTAGGCCAGTGGTTCCCAAACTGGAGTTTGTGAACCCCCTGGGGGTTCGCGAAATATTACAGGGGGTTCTCGGGAAAAAAATTCCCTAATGGCGGACAGAGCTGTCCCTAGGGACCCGGACCCCAGGCATCATGGGGCCAGCAGCCCTGAGCCCCTGGACTTCCAAGAGCTAAGCAGATCAAAGCAAGCATATCTATCACACTGAGGAGATTTAAACTTCAAGACTCCTTATAAGAAATGGAAAGAGAGGTGGATAGTTTTTGCTGTTTTTAAAATTAAATAGGCAGCTAGTATAGTTTTTAAAATTATTATGAAGAACAAGTTTAAGCTTTGTTGTAACGTGCATTGTTTGCCTGGACTGCTCAAGACCTGAATGCTTGTGTAGGAGGAACTCTTTAAGTTGGCTTCTTAAATACCTTCATGCTGGTTTCACATCTGATACTCCTTGATGAAACATAGCAGCCTTGTCTTATAACAGGCTTATTCAAAGTGATACAAGCTATGAAAGCGAGATCTTGGAAGAGTGTTGCCATTTTCATAATGTAATAAAAATACTGTAATGATAAATAATAATAATAAATAGTGTGTAATAAGCATGTCATCAAAACAAATTTTATATTTCCAAGATCACTGCTTTTATAATTTATTCTCAGGTAAAGGAGAAAATCCTTGGAAATATTCATTTTTAGGAGGGGGTTCACGAGATTTGACATTTTAGTGAAAGGAGTTCACAGGTTGTTAAAGTTTGGGAACCACTGAACTAGGCTAAGATGAAATGCGAAGTTATGAGACTACAATCACATAGAGCTCTGACTCCAGCCATGGGTGATGAGAAGGAACTAAGGGGGGTTTTGGCAGCGCTACTTCATATAGCCAGGGGAGGGGCCACAGACATGAGTGCTGCCCCTCTATGGGTATTGCTAGGCAAAAGTCTCTGGCTCCAGTGTGATGGGTGTGCATGCACCTTAGTGGAATACA